CTTCTTTTTCTGTGTGTACCCCTTTAATTTCTTTCATCTAATTGCTCTGGCCAGTGTTTCAAGAACTATGTTAAATAGAAATGGTGAAAGAGGGCATCCCTGTCTTGTTCCAGTTTTTAGAGGGAATGCCTTCAATTTTTCTCCATTTAGAATGATGTTGGCCTGGGGCTTAGCATGGATAGCCTTTATGATGTTGAGATATGTTCCTGTTATCCCTGTTTTTCTAGTGTTTTGAACATAAAGTCGTGCTGTATTTTGTCAAATGTGTTTTCTGCATTTATTTAGATGATCATATAATTCTTATCTTTAAGTCTATTGATGTGATGAATTGCATGTATTGATTTTCGTATATTGAACCAACCTTGTATCCCTGGGATGAATCCCGCTTGATCGTGGTGCATGATCTTTTTGGTATACGTTTTTTATTCGATTTGTTAGAATTTTATTGAGAATTTTTGCATCTATGTTCATTAGAGATATTGGTCTGAAGGTTTTTTTTTTTTTTAATGTGTCTTTGCGTGGTTTTGAAATCAGGATGATATTGGCCTCATAGAATGAGTTTGGAAGTGCTGCCTTTTTTTTTTATTTTCTGAAATAAATTAAAGAGTATTAGTATTAGCTCTTCTTTAAAGGTCTTGTAGAACTTGGCTGTATATCCATCTGGTTCTGGGCTTTTCTTGGTTGGTAGACTTTTGATGGCGCCTGCTATTTTGTCACTTGCAATTGATCTGTTTAAATTATGTATATCATCCTGATTCAATTTGGGCAAATTATATGACTCTAGAAATTTGTCAGTGCTCTCAATATTTTCCATTTTATTGGAGTATGAGTTTTCAAAATAATTTTTAATTATTGTCTATATTGCTATAGTGTCTGTTGTGATATTTCCTTTTCATCACGTATGTTAGTGATTTGAGTTTCCTCTTTCCTTCTCTTCTTTAGCATGGCTAAAGGTCTGTCAATTTTATGTATTTTTCAAAGAACCAACTTTTTGTTCTGTCAATTTTTCAATTGTTTCTTTTGTTTCAATTTCATTGATTTCAGCTCTGATTTTAATTATTTCCTGCCTTCTGCTGCTTTTGGTGTTGATTTCTTCTTCTTTTCCTAGGGCTTTGAGATGTAATGCTAAGTCCTTTATTTGTTGACTTTTTCTTCTTCTTCTTTTTTTTTTTTTTTTTTTTTTGGGGGGGGGAGGGGGGGGGAGAGAGAGAGAGAGAGAGAGAGAGAATTTTTTTTTAATATTTATTTTTCAGTTTTTGGCAGACACAACATCATTGTTTGTATGTGGTGCTGAGGATCGAACCCGGGCCGCACGCATACAAGGCGAGCGCGCTACCGCTTGAGCCACATCCCCAGCCCGACTTTTTCTTCTTTTAAGGAATGAATTCCATGCAATGAACTTTCCTCTTAGAACTGCTTTCATAGTGTCCCAGTGATTTTGATATGTTGAATCTGTGTTCTCATTCACCTCTAAAAATTTTTTAATCTCCTCCTTGATATCTTCTGCAATCCATTGTTCATTCAGTAGCATATTATTTGGTCTCCAGGTTCTGGAGTGGATTTTATTTCTTATTTTATCATTGATTTCTAATTTCAATCCATTACGATCTAATAGAATGCAGTGTAGTATCTCTATTTTTTTATATTTGCTAAGAGTTGCTTTGTGGCATAGTATATGGTCTATTTTAGAGAAGGATCCATGTGCTGCTGAGAAGAAAGTATATTCTCTTGTTGAAGGATGAAATATTCTATATATGTCAGTTAAGTCTAAGTTATTGATTGTATTATTGAGTTCTGTAGTTTTTTGTTCAGCTTTTGTTTGGAAGATCTATCTAGTGATGAAAGAGGTGTGTTAAAGTCACCCAAAATTATTGTGTTGTGGTCTATTTGACTTTTAAACTTGAGAAGAGTTTGTTTGATGAACATAGATGCTCTATTGTTTGGGGTGTATATATTTATAATTGTTAAGTCTTGTTGGTGTATGGTTCCCCTGAGCAGTATGTAGTGTCCTTCTTTATCCTTTTTGATTGACTTTAGTTTGAAGTCTACTTTATTTGATATGAGGATGGAAACCCCTGCTTGTTTCCACAGCCCATGTGAGTGTATGATTTTTCCCAACTCTTCACCTTCAGTCTGTGGATGTCTTTTCCTATGAGATGAGTCTCTTGGAGGCAGCATATTGTTGGTTTTTTTTTTGACACAATCTGCTAGTCTATGCCTTTTGATTGGTGAGTTTAGGCCACTAACATTCAGGGTTATTATTGAGACATGATTTATATTCCCAGCCATTTTTGTTTAGTTTTGGTATTTAACATGACTTGGTTTCTCCTCTGATTAGATTTTCCTTTAGTGTTATACTTCCCTCTGCTGATTTTCATCATTGTTTTTCATTTCCTTTTCTTGGAATATTTTGCTGAGGATATTCTGTAGTGCAGGCTTTCTAGTTGTAAATTCTTTTAGCTTTTGTTTGTCAGGGAAGGTTTTTATTTTATCATCAAATCTAAAGCTTAGTTTTGTTGGATAGAAGATTATTGGTTACCATCCATTTTCTTTCAGAGCTTGAGTTGTTCCACAATCTCCTGGCTTTGAGGGTCTGGGTTGAAAAGTCTGATGAGATGCAAATTGGTCTCCCCCTATATGTGATCTGATTTCTCTCTCTTGTGGCTTTTAAGATTCTATCCTTATTTTGTATGCTATGCATTTTCATTATAATGTGCCTTGGTGTAGATCTGTTGTAATTTTGTACACTTGATGTCCTGTAAGCTTCTTGTATTTGGTTTTCCAATTCGTTTTTCATGCTTGGGAAATTTTCTGCTATTATCTAATTGAAGAGATTGTGCATTCCTTTGGTTTGAAACTCTGTGCCTTCCTCTATCCTAGTAACTCTTATATTTGGTCTTTTGATGCTGTCCCATAATTCTTGGATATCTGTTCATGGTTTCTTACTGTCTTCACTGTGTGATGAACTTTATTTTCCAGATTGTATACTTTGTCTTCATTATCTGACATTCTTTCTTCCAAGTGATGTAATCTGTTGGTTATGCTTTCTATTGAGTTTTTTATTTGATTTATTGTATCCTTCATTTCAAGGATTTCTGACTTTTTTTTCATAATCTCTCTCTCTCTTGAAGTAATCTTTTGCTACCTGTATTTGCTTTCTTATCTCATTGTTGGAGTGATCAATTTTTGCATGTATTTGCTCATTTAGGTCATTCTTTAATTCACAGATCATTTTAATTATGAACCTTTTGAACTCCTTCTCTGACATTTCCTCAATTTTCCTGTCCATGGGTTCTGTTATTATAGTGTCCTGGTTTGTTTGGGGCACTTTCCTCCCTTGTTTTTTCATGTTTATGTTTATATTTCATGTGTCTTCCTTTCTTGCTGTGTGGATCTGAGACATTACAGTTTTTTCCCCTATATTCTTGTATTAACCATGCATATTGTCTGTACCTCACCTTGATGTTGGGCTTCCAGACCCTGCTGGTGTCCCTCAATGTATGCTACTGTATCCTGGACCAGGGTCCTGTACAAGTTGACGTGGGTGGATATGGGCAGCTGGGTTTGACCTCCCATGGTAGTCTGTTGCTGGGAAGGGGCTGTCTTGCGCCAGAGATGAAGCTCTGGCGGGTGTCTGCCCCACCCAGGGAGGGATGGACCAGGCCTACTGTGAGCCTGGGTCCTGCATGGGTTGGTGGTCTGAATCTCTTCTATCTCATGAAAACTTTGTAACTTTCTGAAACAGGCCATTTATAGGTTTGTTTTCATCCTTAATTCTTTGATTTTTTTTAAAGTAGGGTTTTTTAGTTAATATTGCTTATTTTGGTTATTATGAGAATGAACATTATTCTGTGAACTTCTATTTAATATCTGAAGTTTTAAAAAGTAGCTTTCAATGACACTGCTTTCCTAAATACAGAAGGTATCTTTATCAACCTTGCTTTTCTTTTAGTATTAACGACAATGATATGTTACATTTATAAAGTACTTGTTGACTACCAGTTATCTTGGTGAATGCTTTCTAGCATCATCATATTTAATACCCATAAATTTGAGAATAGGCATTATTATGTCATCCCCGTTTTGCAGTTGAGAAACTGAGTAGGTATGTCAGTATCATAAGTGAACAGCTACAGGCACTTTCGAACTTGGGGTTCGAACTTGGGATTCCTTTCTGGAATAGATTTGCAAAGTCACACCCAAAGATATGGCAGCTGTGTAACATAAATAAATAAAGCAAGTGGGTATATATGAAAAATAACAAAGCAGGTGGCATGATGAATGATAGTTAAGACTTAGCCAAGATGCTGGCACAAAATAAAGAGTAATTAGCTCTGTGGCAGACTCTGTTGGAGAGTATATGCCTCATTTAAAGGTGAGGTCACTTCTCAACTGTAGGTAGTTTTTACCCACGTGAGAATGCAGACCCATTCCACACTTTTCAATACAAGACAGAAATCTGTATTTTTTACATGAGGACCCTTAGCTTCTATATGTTGGCTACTCTTTCAAATAAAAATAAAATCCAATGTACAGACCCACATGCTGAGTCCAAAATTAAGAAACATCTGAAGGCTTAACCTGTTCTTTGGGCAGCCAGTTACCAATTCCCTGTAATCGAGTCTGAGGTCTTTTAAACTGTTAAGTCATGCTGCTTCTTATTGCTCCGTTTAAATACCTTCCTTTCATGTGTGCACTAAATGAATTGAGGAAGGGAAGATCTACTTTTTAGCTAATGTGTTTTATTTACTGCAAATGTATTTTATTTACTGCTGTTATGCAGTTGTACCCATTTGGATAAAAACTGCAAAGGCAACCTACAAGTTGCCTACAAGTACATTGTTTTGAAATCCTGAATTCTTCATTTATTTGCCTTGAGTGGTAGAGTTCTGATATAAGGCATGTCTTATGGTTAGTTGATGTGAGGATCCAGGTATTATTGAATACTTAGTTAATTATTTATTAATCATGACTTTCTCTTCCTTTCTTTTGTAACATAGCTTTCACTTTCAGAAGAACAGAATGAAATAATGAAAAATGGCTGTGAATCTAAAGAGCTGGTCTACCTCGTGCAGATTGCTTGTCAGGTAACTCTGAATTTGTCCTCCACTGCATATAAAGTTAGTAAGAATTATTTTGAGTAATCACCAAATTCCTTACTATAGTGTTTTTCTCACATTGCCTCAAGGATTATAATCTATAGAAAGATACTTATATTGAAGTGAAATTGGGCTATAAATAACTATTGTAAGAAAATAAGATGGTATTCTTAAAAAAAAAAGAGAAGTGTGTTCATACAATAATACATGGAATGCCCAATTTAGGTTGCAACTTGCATATCTTCTCTTTGCATTTTTTAAAGGTTCCTAAGGTTTTGGACACTTGTATGTAAATAATAGAGATTGTGGGAGTATAGGTGTTGAAAACAACATAAAATAAAGTAAAAATTTCTCCCCCAGTTATATTGGCATTTCTACATGTACCCACTTCAATAGAATCAGTTTAGTAGAATCAGAATACAACTTTAAATGAAGATACTTCTCATGAGAATGATGTCATTTTTTTTTTTTACATTTGAATCAGATGGTGTATAATTTCTCATTTTTCTGAGTGTACAGGTTGCAGAATCACATTGGTCATGCAGTCACGTATATACATACAGCAATAATAATGTCTATTTTATTCTGCTGTCCTTCCTTTCCCCCCCTTCCCCTCCCTTCCCCTCCCATCACTTCTCTCTACCCAATTAATGTCATTTATTGATCACTATGTTAGTTAACTGTTGATCACATATCATGATGGGAGATTTGACCACTTGTCTCTGCCTCAGCTACTCCCTGTTCTGACCAGGGCAGTATTCCTCTATAGTGTCACAGGAAGAAAGTGCATTTGATTTTGAAGAATCTGATGCTTATATCACATGGGAAATACTTAAATTCTTAGTTCTGGTGACTTTAAGGAAAACTTTTCAAAATAAGTGCTTTTATTTTTAGGTGCCAGAATTTGGGATTGGAAATCAAATTTAGCTTGAATATAGAGTCAAAATATATCAAAGTCACATATTTTTCATGTATGTTTTGTTGCATGTCATCTCAGTTTGAAGGAGTAGGCAACTCTGAATTACTAAATTTCATGTCATATTTCATAAAATGCTGTATTTAGTAAGTTAGTTTTTTCTCTGAATTACTAAATTTCATGTCATATTTCATAAAATGCTGTACTTAGTAATTTTTTATTGTGAAGTTTTAATAACAGGTCTGTAAATGTAAATCTTATGAATTTTCTCTTTGCTATAGAAGCAGTGAAAGTTGGTGATACTATAAATTCAGTACCTCCATGTATTTTACTCTTTCATTTTAGTGGATAGGTGACAGACCCCTTTAGTCTTGATGATTTGTGTACCTTTGAGCTGGAAATTTAATTCTAGAAGTGGATAGGCTGAATGTGAATGGAAGATCTGGTGATTAATGAGACCTGGGGGAAAAGAAGTAAGGAAATAAAAGTCATGGAAGAATCTCAATAGGTCCTTGATGACCTGAAGTGTGGTTCTATTAAGAGAATGAGAATGTGGACATTGGTAAATTGATTTTTTAGGTGAAAATATTGAAAAATTCTGTCCTGATAAACTGTTGCTAATAGATGAATGGAAATCTTTTTCTAGAGTACATGTTTGGTATGTCAGGAATGAATTTATTAATTCCTGTACAAGCTAACACATTTTAGCATCTCTTCTCACCATTTATTTCCATATGCTCAGAGAATGCAGATATTTTTATTCTCATTAGCAAAACATAATCTCAAAAATATCTATGCTGTTTCACTTAAAAGGCAAACATGCTGTTTGGGGCATACATTAGAATTTATAATTGTTACTCAATTGTACTTCCATATATTAGTGACCTAGATGTTAGATAGTTTCCTGGTTGTAAATATCCTGTTCAGCTGCTTAAAAAATTGCAGATTGCTTGGTGTACTATTTATTACATCAAAGTAGTAATTTACTACATTATAATAATGTTTATATTATAATAGTAATATAAGCATTATTATTCTTCTCTGGCTCACGAAGTAATCTTTGAAGCATTCCCATGGTGTGTGTGTGTGTGTGTAATCAGTCATAAGCCCTATTATAAGCCCAAATCATTTTTTTAATAACTAAGACTCACAAGCAAACCCCTTAATTTTGCAAATGGGGAAAATGAGGTCTAAAGTCCTGTAGTAGCTATCCTAAGCTGCTAATATGGCATATTAGCAGTGGGAGCTTCTAAGGACTTCATTTTCCTGCCTGCCAGTTTTTTTCTGTCTCTCAATGGAATTTTCAGTCTAGAATAGATTTGAAAACTTGCTCAGTCTCCAATTAAGATGGCTGTTAACACTGATGTTATCTATCTGTTCTAGAAGCTATTTATTCGCATATTTTATCTCTGCTAACTTCTAATTTTTAATAATGTACAGTTAACATTCTTTTTATATAACCACACTTCTTGTTCCTTCATCTTAACCTCCTCTTTTCTTGTTCTGTTAGCTTAGATGATGACATATTAAATGTCTTAAGATCTTTTTCCCTTCTGGAGGATAAGTGATTCTACTTTCAGTAGACCTTATTTTTGAACCTTTCATTATATCTTTTTGTCTGCCCTTTAAATTTTTTCTTCTTTCTAAATTGTGAACCCAGAAATGTAAAGACTGTCTTTCACACTGAATGGACCCAAATTCAGTAGGCACTTTTTTATCATCTGCATATCTGGCACACAGATATTATGACATGCAGCACTTCCTTTTAATTCTTAAAACAGCTCTGTGAGGCAGATAGTCTGGTTTCCATTTTACAGAAGATGAAATAAAGACAACAAATGTTAATACCTTCCACAAGGTCATGAAATTAAAGAGAAGGTTTTTTCCAGGATTTGAACACAGCTGTAATGTTTTTCTAATAACATAATTTGTACTTGGTTTAGCTACTCTAAAATCTTTAAGTATATCTCAAATGTTAATGAAGACTTAAGAAATGCATATAACTGACGAAGTCATGACTTCAGCAGACAGGATCTCCCCTCCCCCCTACACCTTTCAGTGGAGCCTTACATTCTAGAGCTAGTTCCTGAAGGAGCTAGTTCAAGCCAACTGGATATAATTCCAGGCCAAGAGACTACAGTCTTAGAAATACAAAAATATTTAACAACTGGTATAGCACAAATCCAAAGCATTAGAACAGATACTAGTCACACAAGTCTAATTTAGCTGTATAGGTGTGTCTCAGCTGAATATTAACCATGGATAAATCGCTGTCAGATGTCTTAAAGAACAGATCATTAATGCCCTGTTTAATCAACTCCTTCCCTCTCCTACTAATCATTATTTAGAATAAGTTGTCTTCACTAATATAGGCATCATAAAATAGCCTCAGCTATTTCCTCTTTAATCTTTTCATTCTACTTATAAGTATCTGTTGTGTCAAACAAATAAACTTCTGTGGATGAAGAAACACAATCTAGTTTGTGTCTTGATGGTGTTTTGGGTAGGAGTCCTTTTCATTCCGTTTACTTTTCTGAAAATCATGCTATTTTCTTTGCATATCCTGTACTTCACAAGAAATAATGTGTTTAGTTTGAAAGTAGTGAAAATTATTAAAAATCCTAGGAAATTCAAGAATATGTCATGAGAGAGGTTTCTGCCTTTTTTATCTTTCAAAAATAAGTAAACATGAGCTTTTAAGTGTTAATTTTAAAGTGACAAATTTAAACCTATTTATTCAAATACATGCCCTGATGAAAATCCTGTTTTGATCTCTTCTTTCTCTGAGTGTAGTTTTTTGTTATATGAGTAATTGTTGTTTAATAAAATACTTTATCATTTCATTATCAACTTTAGATTAATTGACATTAATTTTTCTTATTCAAGTTCATGTGTATTTACTACCTTTATATTTTAACCAGAATTCATCAATATTTAAGAGTTTATTTTTTTCTGTAGATTATTTTGTAAGTATTTACTGTAATCTCAAGGTTCCTTTATGTCATGGTAGATGGGGAAAACAGTTGGTTTCAAGGGAATGCTTCCTTGTCTCAAAATATCTCCCATATTCCAATGTTCCCATGCTTGAAATTCCACCATCAGAAATGCATTCCTCGGTATTAAATCTTTCCTTCTCAACTGTGTCCATTTAGAAAATACTGTTATGTCAGGAGCAGGGAAACTGTTAACAGCCTCTGTGTATGAGCAAAATACATAGGCAGATTGCCAGCATTTTTATTTAAACTTTATAAAGCTTCTGTGAAATATAGATGTTACTCCCATTTCACAGATGGGTAAACTATTGCTCACAGATGTTTAATAATTCGCATAAGGTTCTGAATTTAAGGTTAGATGAGGTTAGGATTTGAATCAGTTCTCTTTTTCTCTCTTTTCACTGAACTTTATACATTTAAGGAGATAACAGAGCATTAGTTATTTTTCAGGTAATTTCCCCAAGACAAAAAAATTTCTCAGGACAAGGACAAAGACTGTTCTCAGAAAGCACAACAGATGGTTCCTTTTCTCTTACCTTTATTCCTCAGCCTTGTCAAGAATGATTTTTGCCTATGATTTTTGCTAAGTGAAATAAGCCAGTCCCTCAAAAATCAAAGGCCCATGTTCTCTCTGATATTGCAGATACTAAAACACAATAAGTTGGGGTGTGTGGGGTGGGAGAAGAATAGAAGGTCATTGGATTAGACAAAAGGGAATAAAGGGAAAGGAGAGGGAATGGGGATAGGAAAAACAGAATGAACTGAACGTAACTTTCCTATGTTTATGTATGAATATACCACCAGTGAAACTCTACATCATGTACAAACACAAGAATGGAATGGTATAGTCCATGTATATAATATGTCAAAATATACTCTGCCGTTATATATATCTAAAAAAGAACAAAATAAAAAAAATATTTTTGCTACCCTTGGATATAGTATTTGGTATAGTAATTAATATTAAAAATTCATAATAAATAAAATTGAGGCAAGTGCATATATATTAAATATTATTAATATTAAATATATTAAATATTAATATATTAAAGAGTTTTGTTCCTTTTCAAAGTTATTAA